TCATTTCTATCTTCTTATCGGTCATTCACATACTCGGTCATTCATATACTCGGTCAATCACTTTGAGCCTACCTGTGTCAGTACTAGCACGATGCCTCCCACATCTGAAGACGAAATTCCTGAAGACGCTGAGGAATGGTTTGATATGGTTCAAGAGGCCAACGAAATTAGTTCGAAAGCTTCGATGCATATTGCCCATACCAACTATCATTCAGGATCAAGAATCCGTCACTCGGAGTTCCTTCACCTTCGAGCCTTTTGGCAGCCGCACGAGGAAGGCGTTCATGTCTTGCGTCATTACATGAGCGATGCTGAAGTGGAGGGCTCGAGCTTTAAAGGCTATGTTTCCCCGAAGAACATGAATCTCGCCGGTATCATCTGCCGAAATCTCAGCGGCCACTGGCGCGAATATCGCGCTCAAATCAACGCAAATGCCAGTTATCTTACCTCCGACCAAAGCGCGGGCCCCTGGTCCTTGGTACGTATGTGGCAGTGTCTTGTCGCTCTGCACACCAAGAAATCCGATCGGCAGAAGAGTCCAGACATTGAAGACGACTACAGCCACATCATCAAGACCGGTTATACCTACAAGGCCGAGTCCCGAAGCAGCGGCGTGACAAGAGAACCCCAAAGCGCGCAGTTTGTTAATCTACCGCTACAAACTCCTGAACGTAGGTCGCGGCCCGCAGTGGCAATACATGGCACGCCGGCGGCTATATCTTACAGCAGCGGGATGTCGGTGCCCGGCAACGTTCAGTCGGTGGACGAGATGTACTCCAACATGGCGCTCCTCTTGTTTTTGCAGGCAGCAACCACCGAGGCCTCCGAATACTTGGAGAACATGACCTGGATCCCGCCTCGGCTTGCCCTCAAGCTCACGGCCGCCACGGCCGCGGGAAACGGCGCCAAGATCGTTGAGCTCATGAGGGCACTAGTCGACGGCTACCTGTGCAAGCGCCACGGCAGAGAATTTGAGGATGCGCCGCTAGCCATCTGCGAGGCGAAGCCGTTCGTACGGAGTGAGCATATTTCTAAGACGCAGCGCCAAGAGACAGCCGAAATGGCATCGTGGATCGCACATCACGGCGACAGCAAAAACGGCCTTCTGCAAGATTCCGCGAGTGGAAGGAAACGGTCAGTGCGTTTCCTTAACCTACCTAATAGGCAAAGACTAACTGGTATAGCCGCCTCATGATATCGCAGGACCGCCACGAGATTTACATCATCATCGGCGAGTACGGTGATAAGTATCAAGACTACATCAGGGGCAAGATAGAGCTCAAGGCCACGGCAGATGAGCCGACCACCTCGCACGAGTACCAAAGTCATCGTCATCAGGCAGCGGGCTCCGAAGCTACCGTAAAACTAGCTCGAGCAATTGAGGACATTTACTTTCTAGACGACCAGCCGACGCAACAGCAGCAACAGAAGGGTCAGAAGGGTCAGAAGCGTACAGATTCAACGGCGTCATCGAATACCTCTGTTCGCACCATGTCCACTCGTGCGCGTACGAAGGCGGCCAATGACGCACCTCAGGCAGACGAATTCCTCATTATGCATCAATTTGGGCCGTTTCTGACCCACAAAGATGACCACATGGAGATTCTTTTGCGCCGGATCGTTGCCTTTATGCTGGAGCTGCGCGGCGACGAGAGCCAGAGGTCTACCAGCCAGAGGTCTACCGAGAAAGAAATCCTTGGCAGATTTCCTCCGCCTAATGAAGAATTCCTCGCGCAAGATCTGTCACGGTCGTTTCCGCCGCGTTCCGAGATGAAGATGCACCCTTCTGAGAAATACCGATACTGACGTTGAGAAGGGAAGAAGGGAAGAAGGGAAGAAGGCACGGGAAAGCCGGTGGGCAGAAAGTAACAACTGTATTCCCTTCAGTATTCTTCGTTTCTCGGAGATACCTCCAGGCTATAACAAGATGTAGAGCGTTGCTTGAATGATTGACTGGCTGTTGATTGACTGGCTGTTGATTGACTGGCTGTTGATTGACTGGCTGTTGATTGACTGGCTCTTGATTACTGGCTGATCATTAACTGATGTTGAGATTAATCGCTGATGATTAAATGGCTGTTGATTAACTGGCTGACGACTACTTACTGTTGATTGACTTGCTGTTGAGATTGACTGATGTGGATTGACTGACTGATGATTGACTGCTAATGATTGACTGCTCATGATTAACTGCTGATGATTGACTGCTGATGATTGACTGCTGATGATTAACTACTGATGATTAACTGATGATTAACTGCTAATGATTAACTGCTAATGATTGACTGCTGTTGATTCACTGGCCTGTCTAATCAAGATTTGCCATCGTAATTTCCCGCCCTTTTCCCTCCATTCATCGCTCTTCCGCCAACGACGTCAACAGCGATCGAACCGTCACAAGAGCCTCCTCTACAGCTAGAAATGACCGCAAGCCTCAAGTCCAGCAGCAGCACTGTTTCAATCGCGTTTTTTACCCCTCTCTACCTATGAATACACACATTGCATATCAGGTTCGATTTGCAAAGAATGGTTATGCCCAGCCCAGGAAGATGAATAAAATTTGCACAGAAAGCCCCGACAACCCACTCTGCGGCCCGCGTTTCCCGCAGCGTTTTCAAATCCCAAAATGCCCGATTCGTACGTCTTTGTTCAGGTACGGAATTCAACCGGAACCACCCGAACTGTCTTTTTTTTTTTCTCCCCATTAACGCGCCACGCCTCGTCCGATGATCCCACTGCGCAAAATCACAAGCCAAACCCCTCTCCGGATCACACGGAATAGAGTGCATTTAGAGTTTTATTCCCTTCTCCAATATTTACAACCGCCACGTTCTTCTTCCCCGCTCAGCCTCTTTGCCTGCCCACGTTTGTATATATTCTTCTTCTTTTTCAGCAGGACAAGGCCATCTCTTCAGTTGTGGTGGTGGCTTATCAGCCAAAAAACCGGAGAATGTCTCACACTAGCCCACCCATCTGGCGTGCAACTGGATACTAAACGTTGCTACGGATTAGGCTACCTTTAGTCACTTTCACGATCCTCTCTTGCATCGCCAGCCTCAATCACAGCACAGTAACTGCGCCAAGGTCTGTCTCGAGTGGTTGAAACAAGCGCCTTTTACAACAAATGACATGTCGCTTCGTTTTCCATCTCGTCCCATCTCGTTTGTCATTCTCTCTTCTACTTGTCCGGTTTTAGAAATTGCCAGAGAAAATAGCAGAATAGCTGTCGACGTACTAAATTCAAGGCAGAGAAAAAGCAAATAATGCAGAGAAAAAGCAAGTATTGGCATAAATACATCCCATCTTCGATCCCAATTGGCCACCGTTACGAGACAAATTCGAGCGTGGGCGGAGTGTCTCGCCCGCCGGACATAGCGAGATTGCTTTGCAAGACACCAATGCACGCTGAGCGGTGTTTATGATCATCTGCTTCATGGGTTTCATGCAACAAAAAAGAGAAGTCGATACGTCGTCAGTTCGAATCGTCTTTCATCTCTGGCAAATGAGACTCTCTCATCCGATGACAGCTCGCTCGTCCGACATCCTGGGTCACTCGCGCCAGGCACCCAAGGTCTTTGTTCCCAGCCACCACCTCTGTGAGCAGTGCATTTTTTGGCCCCTCCGCGTGTTTCACTGGTCGGTGGCGTGGCCGGGCGTCCGATATTTTTCGTGGGCCGTATTGTCGGTTTCCGGCGTCCCGGCCTTGTCGTTCCTACTGTCGCAGCACATTTGGTTTCAGATTGTCCTCGCTAGGGCTCCAAGACATCACAGAGTTGACCCCCAGCCCATTCGCATGCACGCCCCGATGACATCATGAGACCATGTCAGTCACCAAGTGTTCTTTCCTGAGTTGTGTCATCCCATCAAAACAGTTTGCATCAGGGTCCACGGCTGGCAGAGGTGGATGCTCGCTTGACTGTGACTGCTTTGCTTTGCTAAATGTCTCGAGCTCAGATGGCCCAAACACGCCGTGCGTGCCAAATAATCCATCTTTGACTATCTGTGGGGTTCATAGCTTAGTGAGTGAGCGTACATCTGTCAATTACATCAAAGGCATCATTTCACCGACTGCGAATCTCGGCCAAGTCAGCTCTGGGCTCTTTTCGCTACACGGTGCTGGCCGTATAGCAACTCGTTCCATCACCAGATCTGTGCTCCAACCTTCACCACTCAAGCCTTAACAATCTCGCAAGATCAATCGCATCGAAACAAGCTGTTCTGTTGAAATGCCGTGATTCAAACCCAGTTCCTGTCTCTGATTTCCTGCGGGGTATGTGCATCAATTACTCGATCGGGACATGGAAGATCGACGTCCTTATTGCTTGGTCGATACTTCTAGGCAGCCCGTCCAATAGAAATGCGGCGCACCGAGTGGAACGCCTAAAGTGGCATGCTTTTGGCTGCCTTGCAGATCCTGGTAGCATGAGCGTCCTGCGGCACGGTGCTGTTTTAAGGCGCCGAGAACATCGCGCATTCCCGCCAAGTCTTGCGGCGCGGGGGTAGCCAGCTCACCTGGCGGCATGAGAGCTGCCCGCCACGCAGTGTGGAAAACGTATGACTTTTCAGGCACGCCTGCAAGAACTTGAGCCGGGGAAGCTGGACCTACACTGGCACATAAGTTGCGATGATTTAGTACAAGTCGGCGATAGTCGTTGATGATGGGATTGCTGTGCGGATGCGCCGGGCCAGCCCACACCTGCAGCTCAAAGCCACATCCATTCCACTCATCCTGATAATGAATAAACTCTGCCTTGTCTCGTTTGGCTTTTTCCAGCTCGTTATCTTGCCCTGCACTGACATCTGTAGCGCTTGCACTGTCAGAGCGTAGCCGGCGAGCAACGCGAGACTTCGTGTCCGATGAACGCGCAGAGTGATGGCTCTCACCCTCAAAGAAGCTGAAGCCCCTCTCCCCGCTGCTCATCAGGTGTCCAGCATCCACATCCTCAGCCGCAGTAGTGTCTTTGCCAGGACAGTCGGGACCAAACTCCAGACGGAGATGTCTTAGACCTTTCAGCATACCGGGCCAGTGCCACGATGCTGCCTGGCTAGAGTGGCTTGCATCTGAAATATGTCTCTCCTGCAGGGACAGTAGTTTAAGGAAACCCAGCAGGCGCTCAATCAGAGGTCCAGACGATCGTCGAGGCACACACGTCAATGTGAGTGAGGAGAGACGCGGGTTCATGTCCGGCACATACCGCTGAGGATAAGCCTTGTCAATTCGAAACCGTATCGATGTTTCGGCAACATGCAACCTGGCCAAGGAAGATAGCCCATCGACAGTTAGAGTAGGAACATTAGTGACAAGCGAATGGTGTATTCGTAGGGACCGTAGATTGGAGGAATACACAGGTCGAAAGACATGTGCTAGTCCTACAATGCCATGCAGCGATGTATCACTCGGCCAGAGCTGCTGAGCAGGGCTTCGAGGTTGCACTAAAGGCATAGAATCGCATGCAAAGTGCTCTATCTGGCCGTTGGATATCCGGAGCAATTTCTCAACGCCGCTCCCCGAGATTTGGTTGTATGAAACATCCAGGTGGGTGATGCCTCGAGAATTACGGTATGGGTCTTCGACATCATAGTGTGTGGTTTGATGCGATAGGATGTGTGTTGCTCCGTCTGCGGAATCCGAACGCAAGGTGCCTCGTCCATCGGAGCGAAAGACTTGTCTTTGGCCATGTAAAAAGTACGGCTGCGCATCGTATGTTGGGGCGTCTAAGTGATATCGCTCTGGACTGCTAAAGCTACCACTGAACTGAGACTCCTCAATAAACTCAAATGCGCCATAAGTAATGGTACCGTGATTTGAAGCTGACAGCTTGCCCTCTACTTGGAAATGGTCAGGCGACCGCAGGGACGAGGGGGGGAAGCAGCGCTCTGCCAAGGTCTGCAGAATACAGTCCGTGAGCCTGTTATGGCTTAGATCTAGGCTCCAAAGCCGCAGCTTGTAGAGTTCAGCTAGCCCAATAAAGGTGGCATCGTCCAGTTCGCGGCCAGCGAGCTTCAATATGCGCAGATCCGGCAGAAGCAAGGGCTGAAGAAGTGGTGCTACCGAACCGGGCAGATTGGATACATCGAGATACACAAGCTTCTGCAAGGAGGGCGAGGTGAAAAAGGTACCAGGGAGCTGTGTGGAGCAATGCGAGATGCTGAGTAGCAAGGGAGAAGAATGTGTCTTTGTAAGGCTGACAAGAGAGTTTGGGTCAATCTCTATATGGTGGTCAAGCAAAAGAGCATTCACTCGAGGTAGGAGCTTCAAGGCCATATGCAGACTACGGAGAAAGCGGGCGTTTTCGTCCGTAGCAAACTGGTAACTTTCTGTGGCGAAATCACGTAGGTCGAGGACGCGGACCAGGCCGCGGGTGGATAAGCGGACATCTCCGAGCTTGACGAACGTGAAGTCGAACCACCATGAGAGATCTGCGGAGGAGACATCAGAAAGTGTATCATACAAAGAATAAGCTGCAATAGGAAGGGGCGTAGCAGAGCAACTGACCATCATCCGGCTTTAGTCCACGTCGGCGAACAGTGGCTAAGATGTCTATCCACAAGAGAGGCGCGAATAGATTCCAAAAGTGGCGATTGACCAGGCAGAGGGCATGGTAGTCAGAAGTGTGAATATATGGGGAAGCAACTTGTAGCCAGTCAGCACGAGTTGTGGCCTCCTGGTACGAAGGCAACGATGGCATGTTATGATACACAGCCGGCAGGGTACGTCAAGCGTCAAGCAACGCACAATCTGTGGCTCTAGCGAGTTGAAGATGATGCAGCGCGAACTGAGGCCAGGGTGGAGACGGCTCTAATGGAAAGTCGTTCGAGGCGGAAATGGCAGACTAATTACTGCTGACGCTGTGTCAACGGTGCACGATCGGTTTTCCTTTTGGCAATAGTGGGTGGCCAACTTCAGCTGCCCAAGCCTACAGACCGGAGAAGAGCTAGGGCTGGCCGACACATCTGAAAACCAATAGAGGTTCGAGGATGCAAACAGAACGTCGCGGGGGAGGTGCGCTCCGCCGGGATACAGTAGGCGGATGGCGGGCCGCAGAGGTCAAAGCGATAGCTGCCAGAGGTAACAGTACCCGATTGGGAGGTGAGCGGCGAGCCAAAGGCTCGGTGGAGGTCAGGAATTAGGCTGGTGACTGGTCTCACTCGGCGAGTATACAGTTGTATGCAGATCGAAGGCTCACAGGCTGAAGTGACCGTAGGTAGCTCTCGGAGTATGCGCTGCAAATCCTGTAGTGGCGTGGGCTGCTGGGGTTGGTGATGGATCCAGGGAGCAGCAGGGCTGGGTGAGGTCGCCGAATGGTTAACGCTAATGATGCAGGGCGCGCGGGTAATGATCCGAGTCGAGAAAGCGCATTGAAGAAGAATGGCGGAGACGGGATTGAATTCAATTCTGCGCGGATGAACCAAGGCCTGTTTGATGATGATGGTATGAGAGAGAGCAAAGATGAGGAGACGAAGGGCGTATCGCGGGGCAGCCACACAGGTGCGTGTGTGCCAGCTGCGAGCTGGCCTGGAGGTTGGCCGACGTCTGAGAAAGCAAACGGGGCGCGCCGCAAAATGTGGCTTGAAATTATTGGTTATGTGCAAGATGAGAGACTCGTCATAAAGTGATGATTGTTCATAAAAACAAGTATCCCTAGCAACTGCGCCACAACGTCTGCAGCAATGTTCGGGCGCATGCCGATTAACCGCCACAAGCCACACAGGCGTGATGAAAGAGTCCGCAACGCTTGTGTGGCGTTCACGACCACCTGAACGCCTTCCTGCAGCCACAAAAGACCCCCCAGAAATCAGCCATACGCCTGTCGAGCTACCACGCCTATCGAATGAAGCTTCCCCGCTTCGTAGACTGTAGACTGGAAAAAACACGTCCAAAACTACATATGCAAATTCAAACTCTGTTTTGACAAATAGCCCAGCGGCTGTTCTCGCCCCCCTTTCACAGGCGACGATTGTAGGTCTTGAAAAATATCCACAAACGAGAAAAGGGACATCTTGCAGGGTGCGGCGCCGCAGTCTCCGACAGCACCACTTCGTCCGCGCCGAGCCAGCAATCCATGATCCCGGACCCCCGAGCTGCAGAGGGGGTGGGCTCAATGGAAGAAAAAGAGATGGTGACAAGGGACCGACATGTCAGAAAGTGAGGGCCGAGTCATGGTCAACAAATAATGAAAGCCACAGCCGGCGAGCCCACGGGTCGCTTGGCGATGTCTAGATGCCATGCCTTGTGCGAGGTGTGCGCCAGATGAAGCATGCTTATCAGTATGCTCATTTCATCGCGCAGCTCTTTGTCTCATCTCTCTCATCTCTCAGCTGCAGCATCTGAGAATTACCATGCATGACAGCTCATCACAGGGATCCCCCCCGGACGCCGCCAGCCTGACTAGCACGCACACACACCCCCCCTCTTCCAGCAACTCGAATAGAAGGTACGGAGTACAACGAGCTTGCGCCAGGCTGCATAGACGGATCTGATGAAAGTGGCTTGAATGGGCAGCAAGAGGTCAATGCCTGCGGGACGATTCTATTTCAAGAACCACGTTGTTCTCTGGGTATTTTTTTCGAATTTACCCTGCGGTTCTTTCTTGGAAAAAATAAGAGAAGGAATAAAGGCAAGGATGCATGTCGCTGTCGCCAAGCGTAGCGCAAGTTCAGCTGGGCGCGCTGGGATACCACGACCATCACGACTTATCACGACGTCATCTTCTGCTTCACACCCAGGCTTCAATAATGACACAGCCAAGCTTCCGGTGGGCTGCAACAATAAAGTAGCCTTGACCGGCCCATGAGCGCAAGTGGCTATGGCCCTTACAACGACCATTCATGCTGGTTTCACATGTCAAGCCAAATTTTTCTTACACGTCCTTTTTTTTTTCCCGCTGCGTCGACCGAGTCATGATCAGCTGATTTTCGATTGACAAGGCAGCGGAGTCGAAATCTTTTGCTAGAACGTTACATTTCTTCTATAAAAATGCCCGATGCGTGATGAACATGCAAGATTGCGATTATTTTTTAATTGTCACATGGCAACGCCAAGACCAATGCATTCGCATCAATGCAAATTCCGATCTGTAGATGTCGCAGACCGCATCAACAATGGAAGCTATATGAGGCCGTCGAATGCAACGTGCCTTCTCTTCCATACCTGTATGAGCCTGCTTTACCATTTTCTCACCTTGTGGGATGGACCTGAAATTTATTCCACGCCGTGACATAGACAGCGTTGCTCGGCAATAATGAGCTAGAAAACGGACCGAGAGACATGCTGCTCGAATAATAATACTGCTAGGTGGAGTTGTAAACGAAGTAGACGAGCTGCGCCACGGAAAAAGAAGTTCATGGCCACCCTGCGCATCTACTCGGTGGAAATGCGAATTGCATTCGATTCGTGGATGAATTACCCAACCCAACTACCCTCCAGTCGACCACGGTACCATCTCTCTGCAAAATGGCTTGCCGCTTAACAAGGTTTTGTGGGGGGGATTGTCTGTCGATCTTCAAGCCCACCAACCCGAGCAAAGATCGATTTCAAGTTGGTACATAGGCTATCCCTAAGATGATCATGGTCAAATGCCAAAAATGCGAAGAGAAACCCATACTTATTTAGCAGTGTCTCTGCGGTGCGCGTCGTGGCAACATTTTCCCCAGCCGTTCGTTTTTTTTTTTTAGTGTCATGGGCGGGGTTGGTTTTGGACACATAGGGCAAAGGAAGGAAGCCAGCCCATACTTCATTTCTAATCTGTCTTTCCAGTCTTGTTTTTTTTTTATTTTTATGTTGTACTTTTCTTTTTTTTTCACACATGTTCAAGACCAAGGATCCCCCCCCCTCCCCACTTATACGATAGATGCCGGCGTCGAAGAATAAGCAAATTTAAAAAGGTGCCAAGCCAAGATCCAGCAGGCGCACAAAAGAGGAGACCTCCCAAGTATTCTACCCGTCCAAAGGAAATAAAAAAAAAAGAAAAAAAGGAAAGAAAAGTAATAAAAAGCCTGTGCGCCTTTTCTTGTCTTAACGCTCCAACGATATATTATATATTACCGGCTTTTGCGAATCCACACCCCCAAGAGGGGGGGGAGGGGGGGTGTATGAGAGCGGGATCTAAGACAATTCACACACTTTCTGGTTCCCTCACCTTTCCCAACTCTCTCTCTCTCTCTTTAAATTATTTTAGTGATCCCATCATGGTAATCCCCGCTGTTCACCTGCCGCACGCCACCACCACACACTAGTTTGGTTGGCCACTTCTTTTCGGATTCTCGATACATTTCAGGTTATACCCATGTCAGTTAGCTAGCATGTTTTTTTTTTCTTTTTTTGCTTCTTCTTTCTGGACCACGAGCCCAGGTCCCTGTCTTTCGATTACCGTCTGGGATGTGTGGTATGCTGCGGTTTGTGCTTTCTCTGTACTTGCCCATATTGCGCTCCTCTCCATGATATTTCTCCATTTTCGCTGTTACCCTGGGTCGCAAACGCGAGCGCGTATGTGAAAGTAAGTAAGAGTGTCATCAACTGAAAGAGACTGCCCTCACCTGTGACTTTTCAAATTCAATGGCCCACCCAATTTTCACAGTACGAGGGACACGAAGCAGACTTGACCAATAAGACGAGAGAAGAAGAGTGCCGTCCCAGTGACAGAATAGAGTTACTGTTGTGTAACGAATGCAGGGTCCCCAAAAGTTGGATAGTAAAGGAGAAAGAGATATATTGCAGAATCGTAACCAGCATTGTCATTTATTTGCGAGGTTGCGGTCATTGTAAGCTACATTACAGTATACTAACTATGTATGTACTAAAACACAAGCATCCGCTTTGGCATCACTAGAGCCAGTATACAATAAAAACCCATTCAAAAATGATTGATCCATTTGATACCCAATTTTTTTGCGTGTGCCATGTCACTTTTTCTTTTGTGCTGCTAAACCACGCTTTGAGTATATATCCTCCTCGTAAAAGATAGCGTATTTACCATTACCCGGCTTCGATAGGGGATGAAACCCAGTAGAAGCCTCATTCAGATTGCTTCAAAATTCGACTAGTCCATTCTCCTCCTGCTGCTCACAAAGACACCACCCAAAAAGTTTTGTCCGAGAAATTAAAATAAAAAAAAGCCGCTGTAACCAGGTCCCGGCATTCATGTGGGCCGGAAAGACGAGTAAAAATCCTATAGCACTCGTACCAGTTTGGATATCAATTGCCGTGACGCATAAAAAACAGGTTCGACAAGAAAATATGTTGTAAAAAAAAATGACAACCGATTGCGCCGTTGAGCCACAGGCCATGGAATGATGACATCAAGTGTCTTGCATTGTGTACAGTTGTACATAGAGAGCCGTTGCCTGGGCGGGCCCGGAAAGTCCGGAATTATCCCAGTGCCATGACAGTCTTGCTCTCTTGATGGGCCTCGCTAATTTTGTGTTTCTTTTGTGTTTCTTTTTTTCTTTTTTTTTTTTGCTTGTTGCGAGTGCCCCGGTCTGAGTACCGAGTAACCATCCATCGTACATGGATGGATGGATGGGACTCGGCTGGTGATGTGAGCCGTCATGCGAGCGCCTGCATGTCTCAGGCTCAAGCCATTCCGACAAGTCAGAGTCAGGCCCCGCTCTGACGCACACAGGCGTGCAGTAAAAGGTGCCGCAGCATCTCTTGCTCATCCAAGCACAACGCTCAAACCGTGCTGAGATGCTACTTGATTCTTTTTTTCTCAGTAATCTTCGTGCTTCTCAGCCATCATCTTGGCCTTGGGTGGGGCTCTGCGCTTTCGGCTGCGCTCTTCTTGCTCGATAATAGGAACGGCTGCCGGGATGAATTCCACGCCACGGTTGCGGCTATTAGGACGGGCGTGCAGCTTGCGGTGGTTGTTGAGGTTGTCTTGTCTGTTGAACTGGTCTTTCCCACAAAACTCGCACGAGAAACGATTAGGTCCCTCGCCGTGGAAACTAGAAAATGCCGCCCCCGTTAGAATCAAGATTGTACCAAGAATATTTAGATGCGTGGCACAACTTACGTCTGTTTGTGTCTCTTTAGGTGCTCGTTGCGGCGGAACGCCTTGTGGCACCCGGGGTAGTCGCACTTGCACATGGCTCTGCGGACAACATCAACTCCGTTTCCATCGCACTTGTCATCCATCTTCCTCGAGGCACGGATCTGGGCACGCTGCAACTCAGATGTCTTGCGCTGAATCTCGTGCACCATCATCTTGCGGTGAGCACGGAGACGGCTGGGAGAAGGAGGCGCACCCTGGATGTAGTAACGGCCGATGGGGGACTGGGAGTGGCGCTCGAGATCGAGGGACTCGAGGCTGTGCGAGGGGAGGCTCTTTTGCGTAGGAAACAGAGCAATAGGGCTATCGTTACCACATGACCAAGATGATGAGCTGTCGCCAATATCGGAGCCAGAGAGGCTGTGTGTGGGAGTCATCATGAAAGAGCCAGGGCCCATGGCGGCCTGGGGGGAGATTGTGTACATGTTGAACGAGTTGGATGGAGTCAGAGAGCCCATGGTCTGGTGTGAAGGCATGTTCATGCCGGGCATGAAGTCATAGTCGGGGTGAATGTGCTCGACTTTGCGGACGGGGGTCGAAGGCAGGACCTCGGCGAAGCCCATATGATCAGGTTCAGGCTTGACATTGCTGAACATGAACTTGGGCATGGTGGCGGTGGCGGGAGGAGTCAGCTCGCCGGCGTGGTGAGCGGCAACGAATGAGGCATCAAAGTCGAGAGTCAGCTCATTGGGTGTAGATCGTCGAGACGTTGGCGTAAAGGGCTCGCAAGCGGAAGAGGCAGACGAAAAGCTGGTGCCTGCCGACGGGCAGGTCAAACCCTGTGAGTACATGCTGAAGTTGTCGTCCATGTCGAACGGGAAACTCGACGACTCAAACTGCATTGTGGCTGCCATGAGGAAAAGTTGTATATAGAAAGAATGAAAAAGAGAGTAAGAGTTGGATGGAGCGATGGAGCAAAAGGGGGAAAAGGAATGTGAAATGGATAAAGACGATGGGTTGAATAAATAAAAAAGGTTCAATATCCAGGTTAGAGGCCCGTAGTCATATAAAAAAGAAGGTAAAGGCTGGTGAACAAGAGAGAGTTGAACCTGAGCAAGAATGCACTTTGGATCTGAGAGGACGGACGCCCCTGAAGATATACCATCCAGGTGGAATGAGCTGTGGAGGAAACTGGCAGGCCGGGACTGAGACCAAAAGGTGCAGATCGCCCCGCGAGAATCGTGAGTTTTTGCTGAGGTTTGTCAGGACAGACAGGACGGGCTTGTCCAAGAGTGGATGGGGAGTGAAGTGAGTCGAGCGTGAGGGTGTATATAAGTCCAAGGGCGTGTAACAAGGTGTGTGAGGTGAGATGGTGTGTGGTCCTAGTCAACGAGTGGATCGCCGGCGTGTGTCTCTGGGCAAAGGCCGAGACGATGGACTAAAATATAGGGTGTTGGAAAGACGCCGCGAGACAAGACTTGAGTTGTGGGTTCCTTTTCTTTTTTTTTTTTCCTTTTTTTTTTCTACTTGTCAACTTGTCAGGTCAGGTCCCAGCCAGAGTGGAATGGACTAGGCGATGCAGCGCGGGAAAGGGGGGGGGGGGGGGGGGGAGGGAGGAGGAGTTGAGGATTTGATGGACCAGGTTATTCGATCAGCCGATCCCACGGTACTCAAGGAGGAGGGCAAAGCAATGGAGGGAAGGAAGAGGCGCGGGCCAAGGGTTGGTCCACCGAGACTATCGACGGCAATAGATGGAGTCCAGCTTGGTTGCGCAAGTGATTTTTGGCAGAGAATAGCCCTCTCTCTGTCTCTGGCGTCCCTCTTTCAGGCCAGTCTATCGAGCCTCCTCCTTCTTTCCCTCTCTACATTGGCCGCCCGCCCCTTGAGCAGAGGGGAAAAAAAAAACTACTAGTTGGTTTTTGATGCTCTCCAAGGGAGAAGAATTGCCTTGGAGCGGGACCTTAATTTTTTGTTCAATTATTCCGTAGCTATAGTTACGGTGGGAGAAGTAGTAGTAGTAGTAGTTTTTGTATGAGAGATAAAAATGAATTTTGATGGAATAAAATTGAAAAGAGAAAAGAGGCTGAAAGGAGAAAAGAAGCAGAAAAGGCTTGGAGTTTGGCAATCAATCGCCGCCGAGGCTGGGAAGGTTACATGGGAAAGAAGCCAATCTTGTACATGCCTCGGAAACCAGCGTTCCTGAGTCGTATTACAGTGGTTCGTGGTATTAATTTTCCTTTTTGGCATTTACTCGGGCGACCGTTTCAAGTACCTGAAGCAAGTTTCAAACCGCTCAAAAGAAAAACTCAAAACACACACACAAAAAAAAAAAAAGGCTCCGGGGGGACTAGTTAATAGTTGCTCCTTCTCCTCATTCCGTTGCGTGTAATAAGAGGCGCAGTGCCATATTCGGGTAATGTGGGTTGCCTGCCACCACATATGGCCACCTATGCAGTATGCCTCATGGCGAATGGTTGGCTGCAACACCATTTTTATTTGTTCCTCTTTTTTTTGAATTTCTTTTTATTTGGGGTAAATCCGTTTGGAAAAACCTACATCTTTTGGTTCCTGAATAATGGGGTAAAAGGGCCCGAGATTCCATAGTCTCTCTCCCCCCGCCTCCCCCAACGCCGGGCTTTGAAGTTTAACGCCAGGCAAGAAACCCCAAAAGAGTTAAAAAAGAAAAAAAAAAGGAAAAAAAGCAAATTTGGTATATAACTCATGACCTACCTCACGACATGAAAAAGCAGCAACATCCATCCACACAAAGCTTTTCCAACAGGAAAATCAAGCGGCAAGCTTCCAGGCCTAAAACCTTTACAGCAAAGAAGCTTACCTAAAACCCCCCACCTCGACAGCCATCGTGCGAGCGAGCGCCTCATGGCGGTTGGTGGATCGGACTCGCGCCGTGTTGTCGGGTAGCAAGCTAGCCCCGGGCGGGCGAATAGCTGACACTGTGTGGCTACCTTAACTCAAAAAAAAAAAAAACAACTACGATGCTGTAGCAAAAAGAGACTGGCAAGACTGGGACCTGGCTGGTTGGCTGGTTGGGCCTTGCCTGCTGCTGCGAGCTGGTGGAGTTATTGCCCAGCCGCCGGGTAGTCTAGCCAAGCAAAGCATGGTGGCCTTGTTCGTGATTTCCAAAGTGTTGATATTTGCTGTTGCTGTTGTTGTTGTTGTTAGTTGGGGTGTTTATCATCGGTGAATTGTGTGGTAGAATTTGTTTTCCTCGGGAACCCTCCCCCCCAAATCCAATAGTTTGGTAATAACTTTTGATGTCTGCACCACAACGGCCCGAAAGATGTACCAGGGATTAGAAAAAAATGGCCGTTTTAGTTGACATTATGCTTACTTTTATTGCGTTAAAACTGGCCTATACAACTTCCCCCATTATAGAAAGACGAGAAAAAAAAAAAGCTTCTTCTCTACATGCTTTCGCCGAGCCCCCAGGGACAGAGCAGGGTGGGGGCGGCTTGGTTGTTTATTGTGCCTGTGTAAATACATACTCCGTACTGCAATAGCAAGTATCACAAACTTAATAATAAAAGTAGCAAAAAGGAACAGCGTTTTCTTTCCCGGCCCATAACTTTTCCTCTCCGCATACGAGGCAATTCCATCGAAATCTACGGATACCTACCAGCCCAGTCAAATAAAATAAAAAGAAGACACTGCTGTCGTCCTTGTGGCGTCGTCTCTCTCTCCCTCCAATAACCCATTCCGCCCCCTGGGGCGTGAAATGGAGCGACGGAAGCTCCGTATAGGCTCTTCTTCTAACTATGCTGGCGCCCGCCCGCCTTTGCCCACAACGCCGTGCCAGGTACTTAGGTATTACAGAGACACACAAAAAAGACGAGAAAAAAAAAAGTCCACTGTAATTCCCCTCCCAGAAACCCGCTGCCTGCCCACTGCAACGTGTGCTGGAATCGGTCCCTGAAAGGCAGGCAAGCAAAGCCGCTGGGCCTCCCCCGCTCGTAACCGTCGCTACCGTCCCGCGACGCCCCCCCCCCCCCCCCCCCCGTCTCCGCCGCCGCCTCGCCGCGCCTCCTTCCCGCGAGGCGTTCTTCCCGCAAGGTGGCATGTTAAAAAGACCGCGGTTCATTGGGCCCGGGGAGGGGAAACGCCATTGTTAAGAAGGTCATGTTTGTTAATTATGCTATTTTGTGTGAAATTCTGTTCATTCATAAAGAAAAAAACCTGCTAAAGAAACTACGGTTCGGTCGGTACATAGAGACCTGACCCCAAATCTGTATGCAAAGCGTTTTGACGTTGCCGCCGTGAATGAGGGTCGGCTCCGGGCAGCTGGGTTAATCTCGTTCGCCTTGCCAGCCACCCAGCTCATTCGCAAAGAGTATTTTATCAGGCTTGATCCAATAATAACGGAGGGGTCATTATCTGCCCTCGCGCCCTTACCCGCCATCGTCATGTCTTTTTCCATCTCATCGTTGTACCTTATTTCCGTAAATTAATGTCCTCTTATTTTTTTTTCCTGCCAACCTTTTGTCATTGCCTCCCTTACCTCTTGTTGGTAAAGTTTTCTTATTTTGTGTGTGTGTGTGTGTGTGTGTGTGTGTGTGTTGTTTCTTTTC